ATAAACACCACCCTGGGACTGATGGATTTTTATAGTGCCACTTTTCAAAGAAGGGAAATATGGTTCTTAAATCAACATGTTATAGTTGCGATTGTTGTACAAAAGAATAGTAAATGACATTTGTATATTGTTTATGAATGCACAGAATTGTGTGTGTGGATATTGACTAGCCATAGGTGGATGATAATAGACAGTGATTTGGTATTCAACATTCATTTTACCTTCCTAGCATGCCCTCCTACAATGCAGAGGCTGGAATGTTGAAACACACACACACACATACACACGCATACTTCCCAAAGTCCCTCTGCAACTGCATTTCTAGAAATGAATTGAGTTCCACTGATCAGATGTCCTCATGTGAGATGTAAAAGACAGAACTGAGGAGAGAGTCACCTTCCTTCCCCCAGCTTGTTTCCTGGTGTCATGCGTGGCTAAAGAGTCGCCTCGATTGCTGGGCTCAAGTGATCCTTCCACCTCAGTCTTCCAAGTAGCTGGAACTACTAGTGTGTGCCACCATGCCTGGCTTATTTTTTTGATTTATTGTAAAGATGAGGTCTCACCAAGTTGCCCAGGCTGGTCTCAAACCCCTGGGCTCAGGCAGTCCTCTCACCTCTGCCTCCCAAAGTGCTGGGATTACAGGCATGAGCCACTCCACCCGGCCTAAATCCAGTCAATTTATTTCTTCCTATTTTGGCTGCTGTATTGTAAATATTGACTACAATTATTTAAACCTATGCCTTATCTGGGTTGTTATTAAAAATTCACCTTTGCGTTTAGCGCCAGTAATTACAGCTTATTGCTATAAAACTTAACTCTTGTTGGTTCATAGAGAAGTAACTTTGTTTTACTGGTCTGCTGGAAGTTCCAATCAATATTTATATAAGAACTATTTGCAAAATGACCTGCTTTATAGTAACATTTTCTTCTGGTCCCAGGAAACAGAAAGTAATTCAACTTAATACAATTAACAAAAACTACACTTCACTGTATTCTGATATAAGTGCAGGGCAAACATTTCTAGAGTTTCTTCATTTATCCATAGACAGAAAACAATGGATTTGGAATAAGAAAGAATGATTGCGCTGCAGAATTTTCAAAAAGCCTAAAAACAGGTTCCAGGAATTTTTAGCAAAGAGGTAGAGAGCCAATATTCATCCCAGCGTTGCTGCAACTACCAAGAAAATTGTCTTGCCATAAAAGTGGCAAGACAATACTACCCTCTAAGGGCAGAATTTTTATTTTTACAACTTCATAGCAAAGGATCAAAGGATAAAGAACTAGACAGTCATAGCCTCACTATAATTGCACAATGGATAATAATAGCTGTTATTAACATTTGTGATTTTCAATGATCAAGTATGCTGTCAACAGGATAATTATTCAAGGTTAGGTACTCCTTTTTCTTTTCACGTTCTTTTGTTCACTTAGTGTTTTTTGTTCACTTAGTGTTAGTTACTTACATGATTGAATACAGAAGTTGGGATAAGACATCTAACCTGTATATTTTGCTTATTTAAAAAAATAATTCTGATAAAAGAGTAGAAAGTCAAACATTTGAAATTAATTTCAAGCATGAAACTTGAGATTTATATATGGATTTTATTTTGGTTTTTATTGTAGATGTACTTTTCCAATTTTTACACCCCCCCATTTTGGAAAAAAGTCCAGTGACAGATTCCCAGTCTCTTCAGACATATGAAGTGCTCACCTATTTAATCTTATTGAATAGAAATGAAATATTATGCAATTTCTAAAACAGGGAATTAACTTATAAACCAGTTACTAACTGTAGAATGTTTTGGTTTCCTCTGCCCTTGCCTGGTTCTAAACAAGTGTATAGGTAAGCACACTCCACTATTATGTACTGTGTATATCCTTATGTCTTATATCTGGAATTGATGCTTCACTGGTTTCTGCATTTTCTTCAACCTTTTTATCCCAGACTAAACTGTTCATTTGTTGACACCTGTCGAGTTCTAGAAAATGAGATCCAGGACTGCTAGCTGGATGATCTCCGGTCTGAAAATGTTAGGGAAGTGATTTGTTAGAAGAGGTTACTTTTTAGTCCTAAGTATTGAGTTGTCATTGTCCTTTATATCAAAAGGCCAGACACTTCACTTTCCTACTTTATAAAGACTTAGCAATATCAGTGGTCTATAGTTAGCTTTCTTCAAAAAATTATAATCGTTTACTGTATTTTTAAGTGTGGGTTTTATTTTATCTTGGGAATTTTTTCTCTGATTTTTATCCTGAAGTGAAAAATAGGAAGAACATAATGAAATTTGCTACATAGACAATTTTGGGGGTGTTTTATTTTAAAAATTTACAACTCAGGCAGCCATAAAAAGGAATGAAATCACGTCCTTTGCAGCAGCGTGGATGGAGCTGGAGATCATCCTAAGTAAACTGACTCAGAAACAGAAAACCAAACACTGCATGTTCTCACTCCTAAGTAGGAGCTAAATGGTAATAAAGATGGAAATAATAGACACTGGGGACAATAAGTGGGGGGGGGAGGAGGATAAGGGTTGAGAAACTACCTACCAGGCAAAACGTTCACTGTGGGGGAAATGGGCCATCTGAGACCCAATCTCCACGTAACAAATACCCATGTAGCCAGGATGAATCCAAAAAAACAAAACAAAATCAGAAAAAAATTTACAACTCAGTATAATACCATATATGGAAATATACAAAAGATATATACAACTAGTATTTAAGACAGAAAACAATAATATCTTCAAATAATAAGTGAATAACTCAGGCAATAGTGTTATTCCTAAGGGTAATGAGTCTGAATAAAACCAGATTTCCATAGATAGATATAAAGAAGTTGAAGAAATAATTACACATAGTAACTAAAACTAAGCAAAAAATTAAGAAAAGATTAGACAAATACCATAAGTAATAGAACCAAAACCTACCAGAGAAAGAAATGGAAAAAACACAAAAAGAAAAACAGTTTGTATCCTCAGTGCCAAATATTAGAGGCAGATGAAGCACAGACTGAGTTTAGGGAACAGAAAGGAGTCCCAAAAAGACAATGAGAAACTTTTAAAGTAGGAAATGGAAGGAGTGACATTCAGATAAGACCATAGGAGACAAATAATGGCAATTTGCTGAGTGGAAAGGATGGGAGATACTGGAATCCTGCCCACTCACTCTTGTTAGGATTATCTACAATCAATGTCCACCTATGAGAATTGTGTTTGATTCCAATGTATTTTTTAAATAATCCTTTTTGCTTTTCTGGAACAAAAAAAATTTACATTTCCTCTCAATTTAAGTGTTTCAATGTGTGTAACTGAAGACATTCTTCTGATAAATGGTCAGATCTGCGATGTTGAGTGTCAGTTGGTCTTTCTCCTTCCTGACTATCTGAACTAACAGCTTAAGATCAACTTTAGGCTGGGTGCGGTGGCTCATGCCTATAATCCCAGCATTTTGGGAAGCCAGGGTGAGAGGACTGCCTGAGCCGATGGGTTTAAGACCAGCCTGGGCAACTCAGTGAGACTTCATCTCTACAATAAATCAAAAAAATTTAGCTAGGCATGGTGGCACGTGCTTGTAGTTCTAGCTACGTGGACTGAGGCAGAAGGATCACCTGAGCCCAGCAGGTCAAGGTTGCAGTGGACCGTGAATGTGCTACTGTGTACTCCAGCCTGGGTGATAGAGCGACTCCAACGCAAAAAAATAAAAAATAAAAAGATCAACCTTAGCCACGTGTGGTGGTTCACGCCTGTAAAACCAGCACTTTGGGAGGCGGAGGTGAGAGGATTGCCTGAGCTCAGGGGTTTGAGACCAGCCTGAGAAACATGGAAACCTTGAGTCTACAATAAATCAAAAAATGAGTTGGGCAAGGTGGCACTGGCTTGTGGCTCCAGCTACTTGGAAGGCTGGGGTGGAAGGATCGCCTGAGTTCAGCAGGTCAATGCTGTGGTGGCTGTGAGCATGCCACTGCACTCCAGCCAGGGCGACAGTGAGCCTCCAG